TGTTTAAATTCCTCATCGCTCACACACTAAGATAATACACATGGGGATCGCACCAACCGTACACGTGTAATTAAAAGCCGGCCTACATACAAAAAATCACGCCTACACACGTATGACAGACCTACTTCTTAAGCCTGTACGCCTACCCAGACAGTTATGAGAAAACTATACCTGTTTGACCGGCTGAGCCACACTTCCATATTCTACTTTTATCAGAGTGGGCGGCTAAATGTGTGTTAAATTAACTGTTATGATTTATGGCTTGTGTGATTTATTTAAATGGCAAAGGCTAACACGTACGTTATGCATCCCATATACGTTATACATCTAAAGTACATATGTGTAAAAATGAAGGAACGGGATACGGATGAACAGCCAGGTGGACTTTTGACAATTGCTGCAAAGTCTAAAATCCAAGAACTATAACTGCATAACTGTGAGAAGAACCATAAACTGTGTGGCGGAGATGAAGACCTCACGAAGCGAGCGGTGATTTCTAGGGTCCACGGGAGAGAAGCCTCGTGCGCGGTAAAGCACACGCAAGAGCACGTGCAATGCCGTGTAGCGACGTCACAGTAGGTCAGCCTTGTCCATTTTTTCGTATGGAAAATGACACTTTACAACACGCCGTTGAAACGCTCTAGAAACGGGATTCCAGTTCCATGCATTTCCGTCTTCAAAGGAACTTACGAAAGTTATTCAGACGCAATATATAAACACGGCTCTTCATCAAAATATAGGAATGAGATTCGTCATACCTGGGAGGATTGAAGTGTAAGAATTTGATTCCGGCTTAACTAACGTAAAAAGAACATATCAGATATGATGAAGTCACCTGGCATTAAAAATTATCACTACATCAAGGAATAGCTTGTAAAATGTCTCATACATCAAGGGGTGGAAAAATAACGGTAACCCAACGCAGTTAAGTTGCTAGAGGTGAAATCACGAGGAATTATCAAATTACATTCGAAATATGCCCAAAACGACATTGAAACCACGACGTAAAAAGGCGTGCCACATATTAAAGATTAAAAAGTTGGGAAGATGCTGTACAGCATAATAAACTGGCCACGTTAAATATGAATCCACCTCTGATCATCTAACCTCGAACATCAAGGGGCAACTTCTGTGTAGTGGGAGGGCGCTGTAGTCTCATTATAGACCTTTAACTATTTCCTGTAACCACACTAGTCCCGCCAGTCTCTCTGTAATCATTCCGTTCACTTCCACCTTTTTTTTCTTTCAGAGAAAAATAAAAGCTTTCCATAACGCTGCACTTGTCGAGGCGTAGCTATTTCGCAAAACATTCGGTTGAAAGTTTCTACTTTGGCAACGAAAGCTCTAGCCCGTTGTTGCATTAATTTGCTTGTGTTTTTCATGTAAGTGCAATGTGATTAACATATCCATACCGTGTTTTTTCCTTGCTATACCATTTATATTTACATAACCTCAGAGCAAAACATGACACGAAAACTTTCTATTTAAAAAAAGTTTGGATGATGTTGCCAATGCACGATATTCTCTATTGTTCCTATAATTAATACTTTTTGTGCCTCACACTGGCATATGACCCGAAAGATCTTTTAATGACAGGGAAGAAAACGCGTTTAAACAGTGAATACATCACTTCATCAGCAGACCTAATTCAAACTGATTCTCGCATTAATGTTCACCCTCTCAAAGTTACTGCTGTATCGTAGACCTGACAGCGCAGTGTTAATAATAGCACACATACAATAATAGTAGGAAGTTGACTCCGGTTATCTGTGCGCAATTACTTTTACTGAAACAATTGACTTTAAGGAAAAATACCATGCCAGAGAAACTTCATTTTCAAGCAGAATTGTAGGTCTTCTTTGTTTTGTCTTACATCTGAACCTGTAACTTCAGAAGTTGCCAGGTAGTTCATAAGTGAAAGTGTTAGGTCATGGCCCGAGACACACGACGCTATAAAAGCATGGTGTGTTCGACGTTTTTCAAGCTGCCTCTGTAGACACTTAAAACGATATTACAAATAATTCTGCATGAAATAGCGTAAGAGTAATCATCAGCCAAAATTTCTTCGGCTAAAAGCGTTTGCATGAACATACTTTTTACTGCTAATTAAAGTGAAATCCAGGAATTTATGAAACTTTAGATTTAAATAAATAGCAAAGGGATGTATATGTACAACACCAGAATCTTAATCGTAGTGTATCTGAAAGGCAAGAGCGAGCGCCCGGCGGCCGAAGGGTTGGGCCGGCCATGGCCTCAAAAGCACAACGCCATTGTCAGTGCATGATTTGAATTCTCTTCTGCCAATAAAGCATTCATTATCATCCATAAACAATACTGCTATCCAAGCGAGTGCGAAAATATTTCTTCCCCCAAAAGCTAGATAAAAATATGCATAATATACAGGTACCTTAAGAACAGAGGGGGGTAAACACTCACCCTGTGCTTGCTGCCACACCGGCGAGGGCAGCGACCACCGCCGCCCACGTCACCCACGCCATGC